TCAAGACACTGACAGAATCTATGGATGGAAAGCTTTAGAGCGTCATGGTGAAGAAATTAAGCTATATTGGTCACTGATTTGGTTTTTTGTTTGTTTTTGAATGTCGTAAATGTTTATTTCTGAATTTTGAGTTGTTCTATTGGTTTACCTGGTGAAAATAAACAAGTGAGATAGGTATATATTTGTTTTTTATTACGCTGCCTAATAATTCTGCACGGTAATATTTACCTGCACACACAGACATCCTCATAAAATGGCCAAATAAAAGAAAAAAAAACACATCAACTTCCAAAAATATGAAACTTTGATATTAAAGAGGAACATTGTTTTTTTTTTTTTTTTACATTGGGCCCTTGATTTTACATTATTACATCATGTTCTACTCACCCATATGGGTTTCGTGTCATTTGGAGCTGTTCTGAAGATATTCCAAAGGTTATATCCAAGTAACGTGTTCCTATGGGCAACGACTTGAAGGCACAAACTAAACTGTTCATAATTTATTCTTTATGGTACGCCAGCATTCATAACATGTAGGCAAATCACTGTCTCCCAGACATTCACGGTTATATTTTTTATATTTATATTCTTTTAAAACAAAGCGGAGTGTGTATGACATCATCCACGCCAAAACAAGGCTTTGTTGGGTTGCTGTATAAAACCTGGAACTCAACGCTATTTCTGACATTGTGAACTGAAAAAGCTTCCTGGATGGAAGAGAAACGTCTTCAAACTTGGAAACAAAGTCCAGTGGATTGATTTAAATTTTTTTTGGATGACTCTGACCTGGATGACTGAGAATCTTCACCAGTATATTGACGATAGATGTGATGCTGCTCTTGTCCCTTTTCTTTTATTTTCATAGTGAAACATCTTCTGATCCAAGCTAAAGTATAAAAATGTAAAAAATTTACATTTCAATATTTAATTTAGAAAATTTAAAGGAAAAGTCCGGTCAGAAAGGATTAATCAGTGGATCATTATCTTTACCTTAAACTAATACAATTGCGGTGATTTCATGAATTTAGTGTTAATCAGTAAAAAATGAAAATAAATTGTTGTCGTGATCACTGAGTATGGGTGCGGCCATTTTTGCCCATATTTAGTAACCCCTCCCTCCTGCCATCTTCCAGCAGTGTCGTCACG